GGGTTAGGCTCCTTTCATATTTGATGTTGCTTAGTCCCAAAGCTAGGGTATGTAGGTAGAAACCCAAATTTCCAACTTAAGGTCTAAGCAGCCCATGGACTCCTCATATAGAAGCCTTGGATGAAAACTTATCGGGCCTCCGTATAATTTTCGTTCACTCATATCTATGGAATCTAAGAGCCCTATTTCACAACTATAAATTAATTGCAAAACAGCCCCTATACTTTTAATTAATTCCTTTAATCCTAAAATTGATTCCAAATTAATTTCTGATTAAATATTAATTAAATAACATGATTTCTAATTAATATATCATTCTCATAATATATTAATAAATCATTTATATCAATTTATTATGACAAATAATAAATTCAACTTATCTCCAAATGTTATCCTGTCAAGTTGCAAGCGTGAAGGCAACCCAAAAGGATTGTGTTACTATCAATTCAAGTATATACCAATTGTAGTATTGGCTTAGACACCTAATCTAACAGAGTTCTCCACAACGTGGAGTGTTGTGTAGCCCAAGCCCATTAAATTAGGGTTTGCCTCATATTAAGAGCTTAGAACCCTTGTTTAAATCATTTTCCAGCCTCCATTGCACCAAGAAACTGCCTTTTTTAGCAAACTCTAAACTCTCTTCATGATTTGAGCTCATACCATATCCTCTCTCCTCTTTTGGGTACTTTTGGTGGTGTTTTACCAAAGCTTAAAGATCAAGAAAGTTCTTTTGGTTGTAAGGAATGCTGTTGGAATTGAGTGGAAACCTTCAAAGTCACTCCATTTTTGAACAATTTTGAGTATAAAGTTAATATCATGATTTTTTAGTTCTATGGATCTGGTCATTTTTGTTTTTGACACTTTTGGTCCTTTTTATGCGCGATCTTGGAGTGAGTGGACCCTAACATATTTTGATCAGTTTAGAATGCTTCTTGGACCTTATGGACTAGGAAGGTTAGGATCTTTTGCCTTCCCTTTAAGCCATGCAAGTTATCTTTATTCTTTAGGTCATTTTGGTGTATTAAAGTTTAGATCTTGAAAGTTTGTGGCATAATTCTGGATAAAGTTGGAAACATTATCCATCTAAACTTCATGTTGATTCAGATTCGAGGGATGAACCATCCTAATCGATAAAGTGAGAAACTTTATCCATTATAAAAGTTGTTAGGTACCAGATCTAAAAAGTTGGAAGCTTAGGTTTAAGGGTAAAGTGTTTAATGCTATAAGTTGTTGGTACCAGTTCCCACAGTGTAACATGTTGCTCACAACGATGTGGAGGCTCGTATGACCACAATTTCTTTGTTGTGTAGCTACCACGTCATGGCATATGGGTGTCCACAACGTGGAGGTCAGTTGGGGATGACTTTGACCGTTGACTTTTTGACAAGTTCGAGTTTTGGTCAAACTTGGAGAGGCGTTGATGTATAGTATGAGATTTATCTTGTGATTGATTTAGGAGGTTCATGTAGCTGATTCTATGGGACTTTGAGTAGTAGGTTTCAGCACTTCGTTTAGGTGAGTATTCTCACTATATTACATATGTCATAGTGGTGTGCATGCTATACTAGTTGTATCTTATTTACTGAATGATGTTATGTGTTATTATTGAGTTGATAATAACTAAAAAATTGCTGATAGTCCATAGGGTTGCTGATAACCCATAGGGTTAATGATGATCCGTAGATGTTTATGTTGTTGTGGTGTATGTGATATTTAGGACTGCTGATAGTCCTAAGGTTGTTGATAACCCATAACTGATTTTTATGTTGTATTATATTGATATTTTGGAGAACTCAGTAACCTTTGTACTTACAGTTGTTGATTAAATGTTTTACAGGTGCTTATCAAATTGAGAAGGGGGGACTGTACGCACACAAACCCATCAACAGTTTTATGATTCGAGATTCTGCATTGCATTCCTTATAACTTTGATTTTAAATTATGGTTGATGAAAATTTGGGTTGACTTGAATGTAACTTTATAAAAATGGGTGTTTATTCTATTTTAATAATGAAAAAATTATTTTGAAATTTGTAATGTTACAATTAGTTTCAATTAAAATACCTATAAACAATGGTATGTTTGATTAGATTTCGAATCACTATATGATTATGTTTAATTCGTGTGAGGTGCAATGGAGTTTTGACAAAAATTCACTAGTTCCTAAATATATTAGATTGGATGGTTAAGTCACTAACTGTATGATTCTATGATGTCTAGCAACAAAGATAACTCCCATCGATTTAGTCTATTCATTCATATTACGTAATGACTCAATAGCTATGATCAGTCTCAAGGTTAATGACAACTACTCAAATTATCGATGTTAACAGATCAATCACAAACATTTAATTTAACTCTATTGTGTTTAACCTAAAGATACGGTCGGCCTCTATACCAACTGTTTACCTCATTAATGGAGTTTTGGGCCACTATGTTAACGAAACAACATGATACAACACATGAGTCTTTAATTAAAGAAAATCATAATAAATTAAATTTGTATAAAAAATAATTTCAAAGAATTAAACCATAATCATAATAGATCATTTACATTTAAACAAAAGTACATGGATTGTAGCCCATAAACGAAGTAAAAAATTATATTAACTAAAGTAAAATAAACCAATACTCAAAGGAATGCTTAATGCTAGTCTTCAATCTTCAAAGGTGTAGAAACTAGGGTTTCTAGAAATCCTTCTTCCTCCTTTGGTGAAAAGCTATGAAAATATGAAAAATTTCCCTTTTCCTATAGTCTCTCTTTCTTGGATGAAATTTGAGTTCAATTTATAGGGTTTTGTAACCGACTTGTTTGGTCGTGCGACAAATGGATCGCGACGTGGTCTTTATATTTCAATAAATATCTTCTTAATATTTTATTTCTTTGGAATTATCTTTATTTAAATTATAAACAATTTTACATAATTTGTACACTACGAAAATATGTCCTTAATATGCCTTTTTGGCCTTAATTTCATCACTTGGTAATTTTTATTTGCAAAATACGAATTTATAACGATTAAGTATAATTTGTACCTTAAAATCATGTAGATAAATGTTAATTTTTTTTGGAAACACTCATTAATAAAAAGAAGGAACACCAAGAAAGCAGCTAGGAGAAGGGGCGAACACTACAGTCAAGTACAAAACAAATACAAATTGCCCATTGTTGAAAACAAATCAAATAAAAACACAAAATTTGGAGGAGTTTAACAGAAAACAATGAAGAAGAATGATTGCTTTGTACACAAAACACGTTTCATTATTAATTACTGCAACAACAGAACATTACATGGACAAGTACTATTTATAGACCTATGTGTAACTGTCAAATGACAGTTACTATCCCAACCAATGCACCGTTCAAATGAAACCCATTCAAACCAACACAATTGTTCAGTCTAATCGTTCAAGAACAAATACCATAAATACTAATAATAAATACTATTTTAATAGATAATTACCAAACTACCCTTGTCTAGGTTATATTTTCCAACACGTCCCCTTAAGCTAGACAAGATTCCTGAAAACATCATCAGAAATATTCTTCACCAAACACATCAACAACCATGCATTGCACACCTTCTAATTCATCACATAAACATCATCAGAAACATTGCCCAGAATCTTTACATCTGGTATATCATCACACCTTTTTAATGAAGCAACACAATCATCCACAAAGTCTTTATCATCTTATTCAATCATCAAAAACATAGTCTCCTCGGACAGCTTCACGAACTTGGCATCTTCTTGACTCTCATCTTGTTGCTTCTTCCTGCAAAACCTCATTATATGACCATAATTGTGACAATAATAACATAGTTTTTTTTACAAATGTATTCTTTTGAATGATCCTTCTCCCTTGGAAGTTCCACCATCGTGATCATCCTTGTTTTTGTCATCACACAAATCATTTCCAGGTTCCTTCCCTTTCAATTTGGTTGAAACTTGAAATGCTTGTTCCATCGGGGAATCATCAAATTGCCTCATTCTCAATTCATGGGATTGCAAGGTACCCACTAAACTTTCCAAAGATAATGTTTTTAAATCCTTTGATTCTTCTATAGCAACCACGATGTATTCAAATTTTCTTATTAAACTTCTCAAGATTTTCTCAACAATCCTTTTATCATCAATATCTTCTCCATTTAATCTAATTTGATTTGTTAACATAAATTTTTTGTTGTAGTAATCCTCAACCGACTCACACTCTTTCATCTTTATACCATCAAACTCGCATCTGAGAGTTTGTAGTTTCACAACTCTAACTTTATCTTCCCCTTTATAAGTTTTGTGTAATGTCTCCCAAGCCTCTTTTGATGTAGTTGAAGATGAAATTCATTCAAAGATAACTTCATCTACTGGCTGCTAAATAAGGAATAAAGCCTTCCTGTCTTTCTTCTTTGTATGTTTCAGTTCTGTGCGTTGCTTGGCTGAAAGAGTTGTTTGATCTCTTGGTTCAACAAAATCATTTTCAATCACACTCCAAAGATCTTGTGATTCAAATAAAACATTCATCTGAGTATTCCGTTGATTGTAATTCCTTCCAGTGAATTTTGAAATCTGAGATTGCACCCCACACACCGGGCTCTGCCTCTGATACCACTTTGTTGGAAATAAATTAAATAAAAACACAAAATTTGGAGGAGTTTAATAGAAAACAATGAAGAAGAATGATTGTATTGCTAATGTTTTGCTGAGATAGGAGTCTTCTTAACGATCGAGCTCGTCTCCTTGATTTCTAAAGACACCATTGTGAATTGTAATAATGCTTGTGCTATCTTGTCCAACTGGGTTTAACATTTGCAAACCAAACACAATGAAATCGACATCAACTTTATTTTGGGAAAAAGTACCTATCAACATTCGAGTTCTTCACAAAATAGCTACAACTTCTAGATTACACATACAGACTGGCGAGAGGGCAACAATATTTATTATTTGAATAGGTCGGACATCTTGAATGCTTAGCACGAGGTCAACATACAATAAAATTCGTACACTTCAACATCTCTACACTGTAAATACAACTGAAAGGACAAATATACTGCAATACATATATAGGATATGACCCTAAAAAATCACATATTCGTAATGAACAATTACAAATATGCGAAACATTATTGAATTGGACTCTAGAAGTTTGCCAAAACAAGCGTCAGCATTATTAACCTCCCATGAAACACAACATAATTCAGTCGACAAAAGTTTATTACTCATTAGATTCCAATCACAGATTCCTCATTTAATGGATATGTCCAACGTAGTTAGGAATTCCTACACCATATGTCGGAGGAGATTTCAAAATCCCATAAATCTAGGTTGGATTCCTCTTCGTTACATGATGGTGGAAGAACATCTAACACTACTTCTTTTCTCGAGAATCCTCCAAACAATTCATTTAGCTTCCGATACATCTCTGCTGCTTCAATCTATATACGCACAAATATACATACAGAAATCAATGTCTTTGCCGCTGTTCAATCCCTTTATACAACAATTTGAACAGTTATTTGCCTAATAATTCTATAAACAACTGACCTTTTTCTGATGTACATGGAAAGTAGAAGGTCCAGAAGTAGAAAAACTTGCGTATCCTACGGCAGTGCTGTATTGATCAATTGTCCGAATAATATCACAATAACAAGAATAAGTTTTCAATCCAAAGATTAAAACTACATCTATATCAGAACTAATTTCATGGATTTGGATATCAAAAGATTGGGAAGTGGAAGCCAGATGGCTGTCCCTTCCCTTCGGTTCATGTAATAATCTATTGCTGCTATAGTGCTTTTCTTTTTTGTCCTTCGTTTTCTCTAAGTTTTCTTTCAGGGTTTCAATGTATCGTATAGCTTCGTTTACTCTATCAGACATTTGTGGAGATCCCTGCATGCGTAAAATTTTTAAATGTAAGCGACGGTGTCACTAAATATAAAGTACAATTGTTTATAAATATATAATATAACCAAATACATGCATGCATCTTAGATTCTTAATGATAGTATATCACATTAAATTTAAATGTTTTATTGTACTAAGCTCTTACTAGAACAGCGGGATAAACATATACACAAGACATAATTTGTAATAACATTGGAGAATATATTCAGAAACGGGGAGGAACCTTAAAGGTGAGATTTTCAGGGAGGAGGGAAAAGAGCTGAGAGTAGAGGAACTTCATTTGGTTCCTCCTGTTCTTCTCAATAACCTTTCGATCTGGCCTTTCTGGAATCAAAGAAGAACCAAAGCAATTGCTCCTCTCCATAATTTTCTTCCTCTAACGACTGGTCGTAGAACAAAAAGGGCGTAAAGATAACCTTACATTCTTAAAATTTTAGACATCAAATGACAAGAGAGAAGTCGTTTGCATTAAACAGATGATGTATGGATAGTTATATATAGGATTGGAAAGGGTTGATAAAAAGGGGAAAAAGGCCGAAGTTACGTCACCTTTCTTTCATCATCTTCCTGTTGACTGGATGTGCTTTTTATTGTTTGTAATGGTGGGGCAACAATCCAATTGAAATTAGATCTCTTTAATTATTTTAGAGAAATTACATATTATCCTACTTTTTCTTCATATTTTTGGTGTTAGTTGTTACTAGCGTTTTTTTTTTTTTTTTTTGAATTCCTTAAAAGTGTTTGTTCTTATGGATGGTTCGATCGATCTAATTATTTATTTGTAATTCAAAATTAGAAAAGAAAACTACGAATAAGCTAGATTATAGTTTAATATTAAATAGATAAAAGAAAGACAATCCGTATTAATGTTTTTTTATTTTATGAAACTTTTTGACTTATTTGAAAAAAAAAGAATTATAAAAATGATTAATAATTATAGAAATATGTAAAAGTAAATAAACAATAAAATATTATTCGTTTTTTTTTTTTTTTTTTTTTTTTTTTTTTTTTTTTTTTTTTTTGACAATTTGGTTATAATTTAATAACCAAAACAAATCAGAAATCCAAAATTAATTCAGTTTACTGTAACCAATCCAAAAATCCGAATAGCAAAATTCAAATTATTCAATTAAACAATTTGGTTTTATCCAAATAATGAACTAATCGTATAAGATTAAATATGTGAACCAATAATTCTCTATTTTAATTATTTTTTGTTTTTAAGATTTGTTTTGATTTAGTGAGTAGAAAAATAAATAAAAAGCAAATAAAAAGAAGTTAGATTTCTCATTATTTTAATTTAGTGCCAAGATAACAAAACGTGTAAATATATTTCATTAGGCGTATTGAAATGCACAAAAATATTTTAAAATTATATAATCAAAAACACGTATGTGTAAGAGTACTTTCATGGAAAAGGTTGAGATGAAATATAAAAGAGAAAATTATTTAGGATGGTAACTACTTCTTACTTGTATTACATATTGACAATTTCTTCTTTTATGTGAATAATAAAGCAACTAACTTGTTTTAACTGTTTAAATTACATCAATATTACCGGCTAATACTTGTTTTAACCGGTAACTCAAAGGGAAAGTGATTTAGGAGGGTAACTACCTCTTATCCGTGTTTACATATTGATAACTTCTTATATTTTGTACAAAAGAAAACAACTAACTAGTTTTAACTGTGTAACATCCCAAAAATCACGACCAAAAATTTCGTTTTTAACTTAATACTGAAACCATAATTGTGAAACCATTATTTTAATACTTCGGCATCGGGTCCCGCCCAACATCAGGCCCCGCATGGCATTGAGCCCCGCTCGATGTATCGATATGTCTCTCTTAAAACTCTGCTTGTCTTTGGGCTCCGCCCGCTAAACACATACAATCATATAACATGATAACACATAAAGAAACATATTATACTGTATCCATTTCCGAAGAAACATACTCTGCTAATAATAAGATACGGAGCATCGTCCGTACCCATTTAGTTTCAGCCAAGGCTTCAGCAGTGCAAGGTGAGTCTCCTAACTGTGTGAATGGGTCTAAGGCCACAATACCAAACCATGTAGTCTATGAGTAGGAAGACACGGGGGTTAGCCTTAAGCATTATATGCTAGTATGTTATTCCAGACCAAGGTTCGAGGTCGGGCGGGTGCCCGAGGAATGTTTGCATGTTAGATTATACTTGTTGTTTGTGTGATACTTGTATGTGCCTGGTAGGGAGGTGAGTGTGGGCGAGGTCTCGTATCTCGTTACTAGATGGGTACGGACGATGTTCCGTATCTCATTATTAGCAGAGTATGTTTCTTAGGACATGGATACAGTAGAGTATGTTTCTTTATGTGTTAGCATGTTATATGATCGTATGTGTTTAGCGGGCGAGGCCCGGAGACACGCGGGGTTTTAAGAGCGACAGATCTATATAACGATCGGGCTCGATGTCAGGCGGGGCCCGATGCCGGAGTATTAAAATAATGGTTTGACAATTATGGTTTTAGTATTAAATTAAAAACGAAATTTTTGGTCATGATTTTTAGGATGTTACACAGTTAAAACAAGTTAGTTATTTTCTTATCAACAAAAAATAAGAAGTTGCCAATATGTAAACACGGATAAGAGGTAGTTACCGTCCTAAGTCACTTTCCCTTTGAGTTACCGGTTAAAACATATATTAGTCGGTAATATTGGTGTAATTTAATCAGTTAAAACAAGTTAGTTGCTTTATTATGTACAAAAAAGAAGAATTTGTCAATATGTGCACACGGATAAAAGGTACTTACTATCGTAAATCATTTTCCCAAAAATGAATGAACATAATAAGATATGGATTTTAAGGTAATCTTATTAGATTATGCTGATCAACAACCTACAATAATCCAAATTTTCATTAAAACGATAATTTCTATTATATCCATATACAACGAACCAAATTCAAAATTTTACGATTTATCAAACCTATGACAACCAAAAATATATCTTATATAGGATATATATATATATATATATATATATATATATATATATATATATATATATATATATATATATATATTATTTGTAAAAAAACAAACTCCAGAAATTTTAGTATATTGTTTATAATTCTTCCATAAACAAATTATTAATAAAGAGACAATTAGATTTAAAGAAAAAAAGAATAAATAAAAAGAATAAAAGATGATCATTCTTGTTAGGACGCGTGAAGAATCGGATGTGAGTTCAAATTGCAAACCGACTCTAGGGTGTGACGTTATATACATGTGGATACATTTTGTGTTTAGTTTTTTTCCTCGCAACCGATTGTGAGATAACGTCCGGAGTTTAGACGGTTCTATATATAATAGCTATATATAATTGCTTTCAAGGAAGAATAGTAAACACAATATGATGATTCAAAATTAAATAGTTTAAGGATTTTATATATAATTGCATGACCATTAAAACCAACCAATTTATGTTTTTTTCCTTCATTATGTCTAAGAACTTAAAGCATTAAAATCCATGAACATTATTTAACCCTACCAAAAAAAAAATGAAAGCGTAATAGAATAAAGATAAAAGAAAAACATACAAACTCAATCAAGGTATTCATAAATAATTGTATAAAGTTTTTCAATTGAATGATCAAAAAATTAAAAAAAATATTGGTTTTTTATTTTTCCTATAAACTTCAATGATTTTTTACAATAAAAGTATATATAATTGACATTTTTTATTCCATAATTTAATTAAATTAAATTGTATTCTATTAAAACAAAATTAAAAGATATTAAATTTGGATTTGTTTTGTTTAAAATTAAGTAATTTAAAAGGTTCTATACCTAGTCTTACGTACATAACAACGAGATGTTCACTTTTCCCTCCCTCTCTCTCTCTTTCTCTCTCTCTCTCTCTCTCTCTCTCTCTCTATATATATATATATATATATATATATATATATATATATATATATATATATATATATATATATATATATATATATATATAGAGAGAGAGAGAGAGAGAGAGAGAGAGGAATGATCATTTGAGACCTTATATATTCCCGAAAACACGAAAACTAAAAGTTGAGCATTATATCAAAATTTTGAATGACCTAAATCAAATATGACAATTTCGTAGTTATCATAAATTCCAATGGTGTCTTAGTGTTTTTTAAAAGTAATCTCAAATATTAGGCAATAATAATTATTATTTCCTAATTACTAAATTAACTATTATAAAAAACTATCTTAATATTTCTCACATCTCTCTCTCTCTCCCACACACACACTCTCTCTCTCTCTCTCTCTCTCTCTCTCTCTCCCTCTCTCACACACACACACCTTCACAACCATCACAATTTCCTCTATCGTCAACATCTATAGTAGATTATGAAGTTTTTGCTCTTTTTCCCGAAGATTTGATGATATATGTAAACGGTTTTATTACATAAGATTGATAGTTTTTCACAAAAACAACAACGAAAGCTTTAAATAATTTCTTATAAATTTCGACTGTGATAAGAAAACAAACCACCAAGGTTCCATTTAAAGATGTTAGAATTGTTGGGTGTTTAGCAAAATAACATTCCTACGTGCACATGCAAAACCCTAAAGCTTTGGATCTAGGTTACTCTATTGTACATGCAAATTTATCCAAAGCTTGTCAACCTAAGCTAGCATACTATAAAAATAGAAATCTACAACTAACACAAGTTTACATGATTACCCTTTGACAGTATTCTTCATGACTTCAAGAGATTAGTATCACAAGTGTGATACGTATAATGGCTTACAAACACCAAGGAAAGAAGATGATCAAGAAGAGAGGGAATGGAGCCACAATTTCGGCTATAGGAACTCTAGGGTTTCTGGTGTAGCCGAAATATGAAGGCCTAGGGGTCCTTAAATAGCTGAGATGTAAGGGTTTTAGTCAAAAACCCTATTTGGATAACTTAGGCCCTAAGAAGCTCCAAGAACATTCTGGAATAGGGCCCTTCGACAATCTCAAGGTGGGCTTCCACCTCAAATTCGCCCACTCCCTTAATCCACAAGATCCACAACCCAAAGTCAATTATCTTATAATTGACAATTCCAGTCCGCTTTATTTAATTAATCTCTTTTAGCCACAAAACAAATTCTTAATTAATTATTGACCAATATTAATTAAACAATATGATTTATCTTTTAATACATTATTCATATAATATATTAATAAACGATAATATCCTCTCTCTCCATAAATTATCCTGTCCAGTTACTTTGGTGAAGGCAACCCAAAAGGACCATGCAATAACCGAGTCAAGTACATACTAAATATAGTTATCGACTTAGACACTAATCCAACAATTTCCCACTTGGATAAGTCTAATAACTAT